TCACCATCCTTTTGGGTCCAAGGTGAACTTTGCCACTGCAAACTGGAGAGCTCTACCATGTAGTCCAAGGGAGACTTGGGATTCCCCCCACCCAGCCCCCCGGCTTCCCCACTGCTGTGCTGTTTCCATTTGCAGATGTGAATGCTCTTGTTCTTCAGAAGCTCTTGGGAAGAGATTAGAGGATACATCTGGACCCAGGACGGCTGCAGGAGAAGACATCTTTTAGTGGCTCCCCCTTTAAGGCTTTTTCAGTTGGGGCAGTGCAGGCAGCCTGGGGCACTACAGAGCAGTGGAGAAATGTCAAATAAGACCCAGCCTCACATGACACCCACAAATGACACCAGGTGTGGATCCTGGTGAAGGACGCAAACTGGTGACCAGACTGTCAAAATGTTGGCAGCAGAAGCAACGCAAAAAGCAAGAACAAACAGCAGTGCCGTGCCAACGGGAACTCCCCACCTGTGAGAATTCCTTCTTCCCCTGGAGAAATTCCAGGCTGTGGTTCCCCTCACTCCAATTATTCTGCCCACAAAGAGGATGGAAACATTGGAGGTCAATGCACAGGGCCGAAATGTGTAAGGTCCACTTCTTGGAATGTGCCATGCTTTTATTTTCAACTGCACGAAACTTTATCATCAGTATTCCACGAGGGTGCTGAAGCTGCCCTAAATACTGTGATGCTTTAGTAAAGCTTGTACATTTACCAAGATAGCAGTGGAGAAGAAAGGAAAAGTTCAGGTAAACCAACAGGGGGAATTAGTCCTGTTAGCAGCATGTATAGCCCTGTCCTACTGAAAGCAACAGTTCATCAGCCCCTCCAGCTTCTTTCCCCCACTTCCAAATATTCACACATTCTCTGTCCAAATGGCCTTACAGAGGGTTGGGGGCTTTGATGGCTGCAGCCTTTCCTCCCAGGAAGTTCCTCCTTCTGCTTGGTCACTTTGGTGGCCCTTTTCAGCATCTTTTCCAGCTTCCCACTGTCCTGTGTGAGATATCTCCTGCATCTCAGAAGGCACATGGCCAATGCAAGAGTTGGGATCCAACACACCTGCACAGTTCTGGGTTGGGGAAAGCCGCTCGAATTCTAGGCATTCCCCTTTTTTTCCCATTTGCAAAAGTTTGGTTCTAGAATGAAGTAATGTCTGAAATGGGGCAAGGTGTAAGGGGTGTCATGCACGTGTGCTCGGATGAGATTCCCAGGTGTGCATGAGAGATGGAGGGCTTTGGTGGGAATGACGGCTCAAACTCAGAGGAGGCAGGATGGATAGCTGACCCACCTGTGGCTCAGAGTTCTCACTCTGATATTGGAGTTGTTTATTTATTTGTTTAAAACTTTTATGGACCATCCCATTACTGAAGTTTTGGGATGGTTTAACAATACAAAATGTAATTAAAAAAAAAAACAGCATCCTAAAATTTAACTAATAATAAAACCCCAATTAAAACAGTCAGGTCTTAAAACATTGGGAAAATAAAAAGGCTTTGGCCTGGTGATGAAAAGAATAAAGTGACAGCACCAGACGAACCTCTCTGGGGAGCGAATTCCACAATTGGGGTACCACCACAGAGAAGGCCCTTCGCTGGGTACTCACCCTCCTAATCTCCTTCAGAGAGGGCACCTAGAGAAGGGCATCTGCCCCAGATTTTAAGGGGCAGGCAGGCACACATGGAAGGAAACACTCCTTCAGTTGTTGAGACTAGCAAGACTAAACTTAATTTATATTAAGGAACTTTATTTATGGATGCGAGCTGCCCCGAGGCTTTGGCGAATGGGGCGGCATAGAAGTCTCCTAAATAAAATAAATAAACTCTCCGGGTGAGCCCACCCGAGCCAGCTCTGGATCAAAACACTTCAAGGGCTGAAATTGGCAGCAGAAGCCCTCCTCCAGGAACCCTCTGTGGAAGATATTAGGAGACAGAGTACCCGGAGGAGGGCCTTCTCTGCAGTGGCGCCCTGACTATGGAATGCACTCCCCAGAGAGGTCCGCCTGGCCCTGTCATTATCTGTTTTTCGGTGCCAGGTTAAGACCTTTTTATTTAATCAATATTTTAATAAGTTTTAATATTGAATTTTATCATCGTATTTTAATTGCAGTCAGAGTGGGTCGTTAATTTATGTTATGTTAGATATTTGTATTTTATTTGTGTAAGCTGTCCTGAGGCTCTTGCAAAGGATGGCATCCAAATATCCTAATCAAATAAATAAATAAAGGACAACTATTAAACCCCCATCTCTCCTGTGGGAAAGAATCCGGTGGGGAACCGGCTGAGGAGGGATTCTTGGGAGGAGAACTTGACACCCCTGGAGATGGGGACGAGAGGGCCCATTGATGCACTCGCCAGCTGGATCAATCTGGGGCTCAATGGGAAGAACGCTGGCACATCTGCTTCCATAGCGCACCTCCTGCTCCAGAGACCGGCCCCAAAGGGTTCATAAACAAAGTTTTGGGTGAATGGGGGCAGAACAAGGGGTCAACTTTCCACCTGGAGTGTGTGATTCGAAGCTTGTGAATACGTTGTTTCTGTAGGGAATAAAGGCTCTTCCAATAATTGCTGAAGTGCTGGTCTTGTTTGGAAGAGGACGCCTAGCTCATGACAGCAGGCTTGGATGTGGGTGGCGGGCTGGGGTGGGCAGAACACCCGAACCAGCACCCCCTTCTTCATGACCACTTGGGGGCTTGAAGCAAAGGAGAGTTACCAGTCCAAGGTCGAAGCTGGAGAAGATGCTTGGTCGGATAGCAAAGACATAGCACAGTCACAAAACAGTCCAGGGGTCGAGTACCAGGACTGGGTGAGGTCCAGGACAAGAGATGCAGGAGCAGGCAGGAACACACTGGAGCAAGGCGGGAACAAGCCAGGGCAAGGCAGGAAGAACTGCAGCAAGGCAGAGAGATGCAGGAGCCGGACAACTGAGTTGCTGTGGCTAAAAGCAGCAGTGCCTGGTCTCCAGTGCCCCCAGCTGCACTGCAGAGTTGCGCCTCAGCTCTTTCCTGCAAGTGCCTGCAAAGGTCTTCCTAGTTCTGCAGGTACTTGCAGGGTCACTCAGGCCCTGATCCTGACACAGTGGATCTCCCTAGAACAAAGGAATGTGGTGGATGCTCTAGGTGGGATAGTGCATAGAGCCTCTAGATGCCCTTGTTATCATTAAACAAACCACCTCTGTCCGTATTCATGGCATCACAAGATTCTTCCTTAAAATGTACAAAAAAGTTATACCCCGTCTTATATGATTACAATTCCATAGGATAGAATTTCAGCAAGTCAACACCTTATGGCTAGCGATGTCCATGTGTGATCCAACAATTGTCCAAGGAATACCTCCACCAGCACTGACCCACTTTACATTAGAAGGGAGAGACCTCCAGTTCAAACCTTTGCATCTTGTGTGTTCAGGATAGCAAAGCTCTGACCAGTCCCTGACCAAGATCATGGAGAGGCACTGCAGTACAGCCGGAAGAACTGATTTGCAGGATTAGCCCCCAGGTCAAGCCCAGTCCAGCACTCTTGGCTCCAAGAGCATCAGCTGATGGAGTGTAAGCCCAGTGTGAATGTGCTTGCATCTCCCTGGTCTCTGTCTGAAGTATGTGGCATTCTTACACATAAATGTAAGATATAAATAAATCAATATGAGGAGACTCCTGTCTTTGAACTGCTAGAAAACAAAAGACCTGAGCTTCAAGAATGTGTCTACCCAGTTTTAAAACTAAGATACTGAGCATGCCATACCTTGCAGAAGTAATTTCTGTAAATCAGCTATAGCAATAGGCCAGGATAATAGAATCATAGAATAGTCGAGTTGGAAGGGGCCATGAAGGCCAACGAGTCCAACCTGCTGCTGTTGCAGGACACGAGGTTACACCATCCCACTCAGATGGCCATCCAGTTTCTTTCTGAATGTGTCTAGTGTGGGACAGTCCACCACCCCTCTAGGCAGCTGATTCCACTGTTGTATTCTCTGACAGTGAGGAAGCTTTTCCTGATGTCCAGTCTGAATCTGGGTTGCTGCAACATGAATTGATTATTCCATGTCCTTCACTCTGGCATCAGCGAGAAGAGATCTTGACAGAGTGTGCAGGTCACAGAATAATGGGCTTAAGTTATAGGAAGCCATGTTCTGGCTGAACATCAGGAAGAACTTCCTATCAGACAGTACAACAACAGAACCAATTACCGAGGGAGGCTGTGGGCTCTCTCACACTACAGGCCCTCAAGATGCAGTTGGACAGCCATTTGAGAGGGATGGTTCAACTGGAGGTGGTTGGACCTGATGGCCTTATGGCCCCTTCCAATGCTACTCTTCTAGGATTCTAGGATTTTATGACTGGGAAGAAACAGTCCCATTTGTAAGGCTTGGATTTCCTGCCAACCAATTCTACCCCATTTCTCACATTATGAGAGAGGGCATGATTTGTTCCTAAAGGTCTGTCCTGTTTTTCTTCCTCTGTTCAGACTGGTCAATCACAATGTTCATGGCTATTTCATCCAAGGTAGAACAGACCCTGGAACATCTCTTTATAACCAGAAGTTGAATACAAGAAGCGCTATCATGGCATGAAGAGACTACATAACAAGGAATGATGAAGTATGTTGTATGTCATGGTTTTATCGCATGGAAAAGAAAGCTTTACAACCATTAAAGGATTTGGAAGATTTCTTTCAGTTTTCCACAAGAAACACAGAATGGAAGCTCCACCTTACTGTAAGGTCATCCAATCCAGCCCCTGGTCAGTGCAGGCATCTTATGGCCAGCAGGCCAAGTTTATTCACTAAAGAGGACCAGGGAGAGTCTAAGCCTTACCATTTTGTTTATAGTCTTAATGGACTTGCTAACAGAGTTTTGTTTGGTTTGGTTTTTTGCCACATTATGAGCATGCCTGTAGATTATACCTATTCTCAAAATATGAATTCTCTGCTGTTAAAATTGATTTGGTCAGAAAATCTCCGGGTCATTTATCCCTGCCTACATGTGCATCATTGGATATGAACTTCTGTAGCCCACCTCAAGTTCTTCCCACATTCCAAACATTTCTATCATCCACATGATTCTCTCCCATGTGGACTTTCTGATGTCTAATCAGATTTATCTTCTGACTGAAGCTTTTTCTACACTCAGGGCAATTATATGGTTTCTCTCCTGTGTGGATTCTTTGATGGTAAGTAAAGTTAGTGAGTTGACTGAATCTCTTTCCACACTCAGAACATTTGTATGGTTTTTCTCCTGTGTGAATTCTTTGATGGGAAGTAAGACTTGAACTGTCACTAAACCTCTTTCCACACTCTGAGCACTTATATGGTTTCTCACCTGTGTGCACTCTCTGATGTCTAGTAAGGTTTATCTTCTGACTGAAAGTCTTATCACATTCTGGGCACTGATATGGTTTCTCTCCAGTGTGGATCCTTTGATGTTCATTAAGGTTTGAGCAATGGCTGAAACTCTTTCCACATTCAGAACATTCAAATGGTTTCCCTCTTGAGTGGAGTCTTTGATGGTAAGTGAAGCTTGTGCTCTGGCTGAAACTCTTTCCACACTCTGAGCACTTATATGGTTTCTCACCTGTGTGGATTCTCTGATGATCATTAAGGCTTGAGATATATCTGAAGTTCTTTCCACACTCTGAGCATGTATATGGCTTCTCATTTTTGTGTGCTCGTTGATGTCTCGTAAGATTGATCTTCTGACGGAAGCTTTTCCCACACTCGGAGCATGTATAAGGTTTCTCCCCTGTGTGAATTCTTTGATGTATCCGAAGAGTTGTGCTCTGGCTGAAGCCCTTTCCACACACAGAGCATTCATGGGGCTTGTCCTTTGTGTGCACTCTCTGATGTCGAGTAAGGTTCATCTTCTGGCTGAAGCTCTTTCCACACTCTGAGCATTTATACGGTTTTTCTCCTGTGTGGATCCGCTGATGTCGCGTAAGGTTCGTGCTCCGATTGAAGCTCTTCCCACATTCTGAACATATCAGCAGCATCTCCGCATAAGGAATACTTTGAGTGGTGAGAAGACCAGACAGTTCTGCACATGGGGAGAATGTCTTCTCTTTGTCTCCCTTTCCACAGTCTTGTTGGACTGGGATTTCATGGCAACTGGAAACTTCAAAAGCAGCAGAATTCCTCTTCCACCTCTGTTTAGGCTTACGTGTCCTTTTCTGCTGCTTACCCTTTTTAATGGCATCCTTGCTGTCATCTGTTGGTAGAAGGAAGCCAGGTCAGGGATAAACACAGGCATTGTCAAAGAAATCCAGCACACAGAATCATTTTCAGTCTTTCGGGGTCTCCCTTTCAGTAGTATGTGAGGTGAAGGCAAAGGAGGCAGGACTGAAATGGCTGAAATATCAGCCTATTTTAGTTTTAAGGTTTACTGTTAGTAACTAAGACATGGAAAGGACATTTCAATCTTTGAGAAAGACAATAAAACTTCCAAAAAGCCAGGAAACCACCAACTAACAATGTAAGAGCCATCTGAGGGGGATGGTGTACTTCATTGTCCTGCAACTGCAGGGGGTTGGACTCAACGGCATTCTTGGCCCCTTCCAACTCTATGGTTCTATGATTCTATGAGGAATCTGATTTGGAAGTCCAAATTTCTTGGAATTTCTCAGCTCGGCTCCCCAGACTCTGCCCTGCTTTCTCTCTGCTGTAAGTCCAGCTCGCACCGAGCATCCGTGCAGGGGACCAGCAGGAGGCAAGTCCACCTGTTGCATGCTACATTGCAGGTGTGCAGGTATCCCTAGAGCAAGTGCCACGTGTGTGCATGCTGTACAAGTGGACTTGTGGGTTTTGCATGCTTTGTGTGAGAATAATTCAGAAAGACGCGACCCACTGGCATTCCTTACTGCTTGCGGATCTCGGCTCGGCTTGCATCATCGGTCAGGGCTGAGCATGAGAAAGAAAGCTGGTGAACACAAGAGAGTGGGATTCCAGCTGGATCTTCACAGCGCCACCACAAAGTTGGGGGAGAGGGGACAGCACCAACTGGGGAATCCTAGGAGACAGGCTTGGGATCCCAAGAAGGCTGGAGTTGGCTCCCGGGCTTGTAGTTCTGCAGTCTTGGTCTATACGAATTACAGAACTGGAAAGGCTTAATGGGAAAGCAGTTCTTGCCACAGGTAAAATATCTTTTGTAGGTTGTCAAGAACTGCCCCTATATTCACAGTATCCAAGGATTGGAGTGGTTCTTGTAGGCCATCTAGTACATCCTGGTCTGCTTTAAAAGACCAGAGTGAAAGCACCTCCTACAAGGGTCTTGCCAACCTCTGCCAGAAGCACTCCATCAAAAGGGAGCCAGCAGCCTTCCCAGGGAAGTCGTTCCATTATCAACTGATCGGACAGTCAAGAAGTTTGGCTGTTGCTTTTAATTCCCTGGCCACTTTGTAAGACAGAAGGTGGCATGCAAGGATAAAAAGCCATTTAAAAACATGGTGAAAAAACAAGGAAAACACGATAAAATGTCATACTGTATCTTATGCCATGTTTTATGGCTTTATTATGTTATAACAAATGTTATACTGTATGTTATGCCGTGTGTTACGACTTTGAATTGCTGCAAGCTGCCCAGAGAGTTTTGGCTGTCGGGTGGTACAGAAGTGGAATCAAGTAATGAATAAGAAAAGGACAATAGCAAAATAAAAATAGCCATAAATCAATATGGCTAATCCATAGCCATGAACCTGAGCAGGGAAGAACCAAAATAAAAGGTCCTTTTCAGGGCCTTCTTAAAAGCCTGCAATGACACAGTTGGACGGACCTCACACCTTATTGCACATGTTTTGCCTTGTGAGATCCAGTCCTACTAGTAGGTCGGGTTGTGGAAGAACCTATAATGGGGCTTGGAATCAGATGAATTCCCTGGGCTTGGCTCCCCGGACTCCAGTTTGCATTGTTGCGGTCCTGAGCCCAACTTTCTGGCAAGCGTGCCCAGCACTTGTGAGACGCTTGCTGGGAACTGAATCCCATGCACTGTGCAAGCTTCACTTTCTTCTACACCACATCCTGGGCCTGACACAGAAGGCTGCACACAATGTGATGAAAGTCACCCATTGTGTAACCTTCATTCCACAAGCATTCACCTCCTCTCGGCTCAGCTTTCATAGAAACAAAGAAACAGAGCGAGTCAGACGGGGCCTCCCAGGCCATCTAGTCTGACCCCTGGCTCCAGCCGGCTCCACTCACAAGCTTTCTTTCCAAGATGGGGCTGAGCACAAGAGGAAGCCTGTGAATGCTAGAAGGACAGATCAGGGTTTCATCCTGACCCTAGCTGTGAACACTTCCCCAGAGAGGTTCACCTGGTGCTGGCGCTTTATTCCTTTCAGCGCCAGGAGAAACCCTTTTTAGTTTCCCATTATTTTAATAGGTTTTAAAGTGGGTTTTATTTACTGGAAGTTTTGGGTGCTGTACTCCATTTTTTTTCCTGTGCTGCTTTTATTGTAAAACCATCCTGAGATGCTTGTAGTGGATGGTATATAAATGCTTTAAATAAATTTCAGAAATAAATAAATGGTGCATCCATAAGAACAAGGACCAGCTATTGTCTTGCTCAGTGAAACCGCCCCAGTGCACTGCTACCAACCAAGTACAGAAGCAGTTTTTGCTTTCTACAACTAGCAGCCCAGGAAAAGAGGATTCTTACCCAAAAGAGCCACAATCCCATAATTCTCTTCCATGACTTCCCGGTGCAGAGCCCTCTGGCCTGGATCCAACAGGGCCCATTCCTCCTCTGAAAAATGCACAGCTAGATGCTCAAAAGACAGGGGCTCCTGAAAGAGGAAGGCAACCATTTTTTCTTCCTCACAGATAATGTTGCAATCTTAAGAAAGCAGTAAAGATGAGGCAAGTGAAGGGTCTCCAGTGAGAGTTCAACTTCCACTAGTGACAGCCAAAGCCTAGCTGAGAGCCAGCTTTGACGGAAGCAAAGAGAAAGATTTTATTTCAGGTCCAGGGAGATGCCAAGGTCTGCCTGTTTCTCTCATGATTATTCTCCTACCTCAGACAGCTGCAAAGCTTTTGCTTCCGCTCCAGCGCAAAGCAAAGAAGGCCTGGAATGAAGCGTAGGTGTCATTCTACCACCTGCTAGGGAAATAAAGGAGATGGTAAGATGTTTGTACCTTGAAATAGCATCTGGCATTGTGCAGCCTGGTTTGAAATCGATTTCTCTCCAGCTTGGTTTTGGCCACAGTTCAACACGCCAGTTCGGATTGTTCTGTAAACCCAAACCAGCAGCCATATCAAGGTGGAGACGGACTTGATTTCAAACCAACGAAGAGTCGTGTGGCATCTTAAAGCCAAACCAATTTATTTCTCTGTAACTACAGTCCATTTCAGATGCACGGAGCATCATCAAGAGATTTGGGTCTTTATACCATCTGTATAAAGATTGTATAATGGGGAAGAATAATAAACTAGACCCAAACGAAATTAAAAAGTGGAAAGTACTGACAGTGACAGTTACTGTTCATGGTACTGTCACTGCTGGCAACACAAATGTCCTGGCACTTTGTAGCACATGTAGTGTGACAAAAATCCATTATCACAATCGAAGCCTCTGATGTTAGGACTCCTCGATAAAAGCCAAATCAACAGTCTCTCACTTTAATCTTGCTTCAAGGTTCCTTTCTTTCCCATTGGCTACTTTAAGGTCAGTCAAAGTGTTCTCTCACCAGCTTTTAAATATTACCATGCCGGGTGTGAGATTTTTGTCCATTAATTATTTTCTACTGGGACTGGCCAGTCTGCCCTATGTAGAATGCTGAAGGGTGGTTGGTGATTGCAAACCAAAAATGGAAATATCAAATGATATTTTTTAGTAAGGATTTTGTATAAGTGTGGAAGAGCGTAGAAAGAAGCATCTCTCCCACACAGACACAACAGGGAGAGTTGGTAGAAATTTGCTCCATTAACCTCAAGGAGATGAGAGGGGTGGCAACCAGGTGAAGGGTCTTTTCTGCTGCTGCTCCTAATCTTTGGAACTCCATCCCTAGGGAAATTTGCCTGGCACCATCTTTATTTTCCTTTTGGCACCAGGCAAAGACATACCTTTTTAGAAAAAAAATTACATTTAGCCTGCACTCTGTGGCCTTTTTAAATTGCTTTTATAGATGTTTAATTTGTTGTGTTTTAACTGGTTTTAATGTGCTTTACTCTGTTAATATGTTTTATGCATTGTAAGCTGCCTAGGAAGGTCTCGGCAATTATAGGCAGTGTGTCTAGTCAAGGCTATGGTTTTCCCAGTTGCAATGTATGGCTGTGAAAGCTGGATCATAAGGAAGGCTGCGCGCCGAAGGACTGAGGCCTTTGAATTGTGGTGCTGGAGGAGACTCCTGCGAGTCCCTTGGACCGCAAGGTGATCAAACCGGTCAGTGATAGAGGAGGTCAACCCTGACTGCTCTTTAGAAGGCCAGATACTGAAGATGAAATTCAAATACTTTGGCCACCTAATGAGAAGGAAGGACTCCCTGGAGAAGAGCCTAATGCTGGGAACAATAGATGGCAAAAGAAGAAGGGGGTGGCAGAGGATGAGGTTAGATGGAGTCACTGAAGCAGTTGGCGTGAGCTTAAGGGGACTCCGGGGGATGGTGGAGGACAGGAACGCCTGGAGGAATGTTGTCCATGGGGTTGCAATGGGTCGGTGACTAACAACAACAACAAATAAATACATGTAAATAAACATATAAATAAATAACCCTTACCCAGTGGAGTAGCATCTCGGTCATCCTTCTGGAAGGTTCCCTGGAATGGCAGCCATGATGCACTGGCCACCAGGCCTTTCTCTGCCGCAGGGAAATCAGGGGCAGCTTTGCCTCTTGTCACCTAAAACAGGAGTGAGGACCCCAGGTGTGAAATGTGGGGCTGGGATTAAGAAAGGAAAGAAATGGGGCAGATCTTTGAACTCCTGGGATCTTGAACTCCTCAACTGATTGCACTTTTCAAACCCTACAGCACACACACACACCTCTG